GGTTCAGTACTGTGTGCAAAGAAAGATGCCGTCCTGTTTTCAGGTGGGCCGGGGAGCCCAGCTGGTTGAGTGGTCAGACCTGGCCGGACTGGGACAGGTGCCAATCCTCATCTTTGTACCACGAAGTTCACTGGCTGACCTCCGTGGCACCCCTCAGAGGGTCTTTGTGAAGATACAGCAGGGTGGGGAGGGGGGGTCACATCCCCCTCCTGAGACATGCAGCTCCTGAGCGGCCCCGGCCCCTTGGGGAACGTGGTCCATCGGCCTCTCGGGCTCTGGCGGCTGCCCCCACACCTCTCGCTCTCCTGGCGGCGACAACCTCAGGCCTCCAAAGGCTCCCAGGCAGGGAGAGGATGCAGCAGCACAGCCCGGCCGCACAGCCCCTCCCGCACCCCCCCTGCGGGCACGACGTAGACCTTGCCATCGGCCGCCCGCCTGGGGCTGAAGTCGGTCAGCTGGGCGTTGCTCTCCTGCACCCGCCGGTAGTCCCACAGCTGGTAGCGGCAGCTCTTGCCCTGCTTGGAGAGCAGGTACGTCTCCGTCACGGCCCCCGGGGGGAGCGGGGCGCACGGAGGGGTGGCGTGGAAGAGCCCGGGCATCTCCGCGTCCTCCTGGCAGGCCGGCAGTCGGGAGTCCCCCTTCAGGCCAAGCAGAGCTCCTGCAGGGAGGAAAGAGACGGGGAGAACCAAGGCTTCCCTCTAAGCTGTGGAGTCTTCCTGTGAGCAAGAATTCTACTTTGTGAGCTGCCAGCATTGAAGTTGTGAGCCAGCGATTTGGCTGCTGCATCAATTAGTTTGCTCTGGAGCCCCATCCCTTCCCGAGCTAAGGCAAAAATGTGCGAGCCGGAGGCTAAAGAACTGTGACCTCGCTCACACTCACTCAGCTTGGAGGGAGCACTGGCTGGCACTCTTGCCCTGCGGGCCTCCCACCCCTTGGGGGGCGCCCCAGCCGTCCTGACACCCTTTCCCCTTCCGCCTCCTTGGCCCGGCCATTGTGTTTCCAGCCTATGCTGCAACCCATCTTGAAGGGTCCGTTTTCTGCCCTCAAGTCTCAGCTGACTTCCAGGGACCCCTGTAGGGTTTTCAAGGGAAGAGACTTTCAGAGGTGGTTTTCCCATTCGTTGCCTGCCTCTGGTGCTCCTTGGAGGTCACCAATGCCCCCTCTAAGCTGTGGAGTCTCGTGAACAAAAGTTCTGCTTTGTGAGCTACCGGCATTAAAGTTGTGAGCAAGCAACTTGGCTACTGCATCAATTAGCTTGCTCTGGAGTCGTCCTTCCTGAGCTAAGACAAAAATGTGTGAGCCGGAGGCTAAAAAACTGGGAGCTAGCTCACACCAACTCAGCTTAGAGGGAACACTGGTTGTGAGCGAGTGATTTGGCGACTGCATAAATTAGGTTGCTCTGGAGCCATCCTTCCTGAGCCAAGACAAAAATGTAGGAGCAAGCTCAAACTAAGTTTAGAGGGAAGAAGAAGAGGAGATTGGATTTATCCCCCGCCCTTCACTACCCAAAGGTGTCTCAGAGCGGCTTACAGACTCCTCTCCTTTCCCCTCCCCACCACAGACACCTCCTGTGAGGTCGGTGGGGCTGAGAGAGCTCTTGACAGAAACTGCTCTTTTTCAAGAACAGCTCTTATCAGAACTGTGGCATGCCCAAGGTCATCCAGCAGGTGTAAGCGGAGGAGTGGGGAATCAAACCCGGTTCTCCCAGATCAGAGTCCGCGCACTTAACCACGACACCAGATTGTACTGGAGCTCTCCCACCCAAATACTAGCCAGGGCCAGCCCCACTTAGCCTCTGAGACATGATGAGATGGGGTGAGCCTGGGCAACTTGAGTGCTTAGAAATACTTGAGTGCTCAGAAGTGCTCAGATTTCGATTTCATAGGCTCGGAGGGAAGACAGGCCCATTTTAAGCCAATGGCTCTTTGTGATCCTGCCTTTCCTGATCAATTCGCCCAAGGCGGCTCCCAATTCCACCATTTTTCATAAAAAGCGAGCACAACACCGACAGCAGCCATTCATGGCAAACACAAGGCTAACGGCGGCAGAGAAAGGAAATATCAGGCAGGGAAGGCCTTGAGAGATCTTCAGTTTCTACCCAGTACCCTGTGATGGAGTCACAAGGTGCTGCACCCCTCCCTGGGGGAGTGTTTTGGGCCCTGCAACTGTCAGCAAGCTCCCGATTTCTGATGGTGGGAGCTCCACGTGCTAAAGGTGATGGGGCAGGATTGGCTAGGAGAAGGCAAGTGGTTTGGGGCCCTGATCCCAGGTTGGTTCCAAGTGTAGAACTTGATGCCAGCCCCTTGAACCGACCTCACCTGGGAACACAGTCTGTGCGCGCAGCACGTTCCGCAGCCGGTTTTGAGAGCGTTTGGAAGTGCTGAAGCCAATCTCTCGCCTGTGGGACAGCGATGCAAATGACTATCTCTGCAAAACAGGATGACTCACTTGCAGATAGAGGACCAACATCCTGGAAACTCACTCGTCATCATGAATGGTCTCTGCATCCGGCTAAAGGCTGCGGTGGGTGGGAGGGGAGATGGGAGGCAGGTTCCCCGGCTCAGGCTGCTCCCAGAGCGGCCCCCTCCCCATAAGTCCCAGCACCTGAGCACACGTGAAGCTGGCTCATGCCGAATCAGGTCCTTGGTCCACCAAGGTCAGCATTGCCTACTCAGACCGGCAGCCGCTCTCCGGGGTCTCAGGCAGAGAAGGGTCTTTCCCGTCACCTCCTGCCTGGTCCTTTCAACTGGAGATGCTGCTGGGGATTGAACCCGGGACCTCCTGCATGCCAAGCAGAGGCTCTTCCACTGAGCCACGGCCCCTCTTTACTGCTCTTCAGGGTCTCAGGCAGAGGTATTTCCCGTCACCTCCTGCCTGGTCCTCTTAACTGCCTGGTCCCCCCCTGGATTGAACACCTGGGACCTTCTGCCTGCCAAGGAGATGCTCTGCCACTGAGCCACAGCCCCTCTTTACAACTCTTCAGGGTCTCAGGCAGAGGTATTTCCCGTCACCTCCTGCCTGGTCCTTTCAACTGGAGATGCTGCTGGGGATTGAACCCGGGACCTCCTGCATGCCAAGCAGAGGCTCTTCCACTGAGCCACGGCCCCTCTTTACTGCTCTTCAGGGTCTCAGGCAGAGGTCTTCCCCGTCACCTCCTGCCTGGTCTATTTTAACTGGAGATGCCAGGGACTGAACCCGGGACCTCCTGCATGCCAAGCAGAGGCTCTTCCACTGAGCCACGGCCCCTCTTTACTGCTCTCCAGGGTCTCAGGCAGAGGTCTTCCCCGTCACCTCCTGCCTGGTCTATTTTAACTGGAGATGCCAGGGACTGAACCCAGGACCTTCTGCAGGCCAAGCAGAGGCTCTGCCACTGAGCCATGGCCCCTCTTTACAGCTCTCCAGGGTCTCAGGCGGAGGTCTTTCCCATCACCTCCTGCTTGGTCATTTTCAACTGGAGATGCTGCCGGGGACTGAACCCGGGACCTTCTGCATGCCAAGCATCTGCTCTGCCGCTGAGCCATTGCCCCTTCCCAATAATACAGCTTGAGAGACTGCAGGCAGGAGCTGCCTGGGCCAGAGAGTTTTTGCTGTATGCAGACTTTGGTTCTGAGCAGCTGATAGGCTTCCAGGTGCTCCCCTCCAGAGCCTCCACGACGTTCCAGGCCTGCTCTTCCAACTGCCCGACAGGAAGCAGAGATGGTAGGTGGCCAGGCCTGGAAGCTGCTGCCCCCTTGTGGGCAGAAACGGCCAGTGCTTCCCTCTTTACTGAATCTTTGTTCCTGGGGGGGAACATCCAGGCGCAGAGCAGATTTAGCCTGCCTTCCCTCCCTCCCTCCTGGGCCTCAGCCAGCAGCCCCACATACCTGAGACGACAGCCCAGTGAGCCTTGTAGCCACGCCGCAGGCAGGGTTCGTGGTTGGAATCCTCATCGTATCTGGGCCGGGCGTTAAGGTCTGGCCGGGACGGAGGCTCCCTTGTGAGCAAAAATTCTACTTTCTGAGCTACTGGCATGAGAGTTGTGAGCGAATGATTTGGCTACTGCGTCAATCAGCTCGCTCTGGAGCCCCATCCTTCCTGAGCGGAGACAAAAATGTGTGCGCCGGAGGCTTAAAAAACTGTGAGCTGGCTCACACTAACCCAGCTTAGAGGGAACACTGGCCGCGACCTGTTCTGCCCCACAACAGCGTAGTAGAGAGGGCAGCAGTGCAAAGATAGACCCAGAGCCGTGGGCACTGCTTCCTTCCTCGAAAGGACAGGCTGGCCCCCAACCCAACTTCGGGCACCACTCAAAGAGTTCCACAAGTAGGGGTGTTCACACACACACACAAAAAAATGGGATTTTTCAGATTCAGAAATAATACATTGAAACCCCCCAAATTGGAACTCCCGCCAGCACCCCAAATTCCAATACCGGTGTGATAGTTGGGTCCATTATACCCTATGAGACCATTATAGTCAATGGGGAATCTATCAGGGGGTATCCAGCAATGCTCCCTCTAAGCTGTGGAGTCTGGTGAGCAAAAAATGCTACTTTGTGAGCTACTACTGGCATTAAAGTGGTGAGCGAGCGATTGGGCTCCTGCATAGATTAGTTTGCTCTGGAGCCACATCCTTCCCGAGCCAAGACGAAAAATGTGTGAGCCGGAGGCTAAAAAACTGTGAACTAGCTCACACTAAATCAGCTTTGAGGGAACACTGAATCCAGGGGTCTGTTTTTTGAGGTAGAGGCACCAAATTTTCAGTGTAGCTTCTGGTGCCTCTCCTCAAAAGACCCCTCAAGTTTCAAAAAGACTGGACCAGTGGGGTCTAATTCTATGGGCCCCCAAAGAACGTGCCCCCATCCTCTATTGTTTCCAGTGGTGGGGGAAAAAACAGCAAAAAAACCAAGGACTGATGTCAAACCAAAGAGTCTCTATAGTAGAAACTGAGGGGGGGATTTTTTTTCCCAAGGTCCACAGAATTAGTGCATGTACAGAGTGCCCAGCAGAATCAGTGCCACAGTGGCAATACCAGCTCAACAAATTAAAGGGTTTTTTTTTTGCAAGCCCAGCATACCCAGCAGATGGAGAAAAAAAGAGAAAGCATTTAAGGGAAGGCACTGGGTTTTGCTGAGCACTAGTAGATTGCACTGGTATTGCTTGGCACTCTGTACGTGCACTGGCTGTGCTAGGCTTGCAACCCCCCCACCCCCGGATTTGTTGAGCTGGCATTACCACAGTGGCACTGGTTCTGCAAAAATGCCCCCCTTCAGTTTCTATTGCAGAGACTCTCTGATTTGACATAATTCCCTGCTTTTTTGCTAGTTTCCCCCTCCATTGGAAATAATGGCGGATGGGGGCACCTTCTTTGGGGGCCAACAGAATTGCACCCCCGTGTCCAATTTTTCTGGAACTTTTTTTTTTTGGGGGGGGATCTTCTGAGTAGAGGCACCAGAAGCGACATTGAAAATTTGGTGCCTCTACCTCAAACAGCAGCCCCCCAAAGACCCCCAGATAGAGTCAGTTTGGTGTAGTGGTTAAGTGGGTGGGCTCTAATCTGGGAGAACCGGGTTTGATTCCCCACTCCTCCACTTGCAGCTACCGGATGACCTTGGGCAAGCCATAGTTCTGATAAGAGCTGCTCTTGAAAAAGAGCAGTTTCTGTCAAGAGCTCTCTCAGCCCCACCTATCTCACAGGGCGTCTGTTGTGGGGAGGGGAAGGGAAAGGAGTTTGTAAGCCACCCTGAGACTCCCTTGGGTAGTGAAGGGTAGGGTATAAGTCTAATATCTTCTCCTTCTAGATTCCCCATTATAGGCTACGGGGATCATTGACTATAATGGTCCCCATAGACTATAATGGAGCTGAAAGCATTTAAAGGTGTTGCGGTCCATTTAAACGCATTTGTGAAGTTGCAGCTTTACCAGGAACAGCGTTTAAAGGGAGTGCACTCTCTTTAAATGCTGTTTAACTGTGGCTATCCTGTTTTCCCAGATAATCCCAATTTTTTCAGGATTATCTGGGATTGGCTATCCTCAATAACTGAAATTTATCCCCCACCCACCCACCTGAAAGAATACCTGATAAATACCGATGAGGTATTTTCCGACTCGGATAGCGCCAAATGCACACCCCTAACCACAAGGGAGGATACGGTATCAACAGAGGGAGGCCGGCAAGTAGATGCTGAAGGATCCTCTCGCGGTTCTGTCCCTCCAGGCCTCCAGACAGCAGCTCCGCTTGGCAGGGGAACACTTCCTCAGCGAGCTTGGCTACATCAGAAGCTGGAGCAGGCAGGAGGAGGGGTAAAAGGTCAGTGCTGGGGGGCAGCAGCTAGCTAGAGAGTCTCCCAGCCTCACGTAGGAGGGTGCAGCCCGTGACCTTCCCAGCCTGCACACACATACACACACTCTGCCTCCCCCCCCCCGCCCCGGACCCACAGGGGCAGGACTGAGGAGTCCCCTTCGGTCACTTGAAGGTCTGGTGACTTTTCCCTCCATTCTTCCTCCACTACCAACCTGAAAACATTTCCCCTTGGGCAGTATAACCTCTCTCCAAAGCCACCTGCACAACTTCCTCCAGGGAAACAGCCTTGGGTGGGTGAAGAAGGGCTCCTGCCATCCACAGGGCCACCAGGCCACACCTGGAGAGGGGAGAAAGTCAAGAGAGAAGAAGAGAAGTGATTGGATTTATACCCCGCCCTTCACTACCTGGAGAAGTCTCAGAGCATCTTACAAACTCCTTTCCCTTCCCCTTCCCACAACAAACACCCTGTGAGGTGGGTGGGGCTGAGAGAGCTCTGAGAGAAACTGCTCTTTTTCAAGGACAGCTCTGACAGAACTGTGGCTTGCCCAAGGTCATCCAGCAGGTGCAAGTGGAGGAGGGGGAATCAAACCTGGTTCTCCCAGATTAGAGTCCGCGCACTTAACCACTACACCAAACTGGCTGTGCTTGATACCAAGTTGGGTGCCTCTCATGAAGCCACACCTGCCCTTCCTAGGGTTCAGGACTCAAGGCTGGTTGCCATTCCCTTCTCCGTTCACTGGGTGACCTCTTGGACAAACCACACACTCGTGTTTTCTGGCTAGCTGGCCTCAGAGAGCTGTTTTGAGGACCACATGCTCCGCTAGGAGTTCCTGGGAGAAAGAGCAGCGATACACAAAGCGACAAACCAGGTTCACAGCCCCCCCACTTGGCCATGGAAGCGCACCGAGTGACAGTCACTCAGCCTAACCAACCTCATAGGATTGTTGTGGGGGTGCAAAAAAAGGAGAACCACACAACCCAGAACTCCCTGGAAGATGTGTACCGCGAAAACAGAAGAAACAGAAGAAGAGGAAGGAGATATTTTTCTTTCCTGTTTGCCTGTACTGGCTAGTAACGCGTACAAGAAGAGACAGCGGACCTGTTCCAAACAGCATGCTGTGTACTCAGTATCCAACACTGCACAGAGCCCTTTTACAGTAAAGAAGAAAATGAATACTCACTGGGGGCCCTCCTGAATTAAGGACGGCACGTGGTGGTTGAAGATGAGCCACTTTAAATGCTCGCTGAAGCTGGAAGAGAGGAGAGAGTCCCAAAAGGCCATTTAAGGGCCCAGCCCAACATTTCATGCACTTTCTCCTTCTGCATAATTGACAGGATGCTGAGTGTTTCTTCTCCCTGGGGCTCTTAATCTGAACGACTGAAAGTGAGCCTCAGATATGGGAGGAGGGGGCATTCTTTGCCTTACAGGAAACATAAAAGGTGGTGGCGTGGAAATGGAGGTACGGAAAGAGAAAATGGAACACCGCTCAAAAGATGCTGTCTGCAGAATGTCCCCAATGCCAGGAGTGAAAGAGAGAGCTGTCGTTAAAAAGCACCAGGCCTTTCAAATGCTGCAGGAGCTCCTAAAATATCTCCTATACAAACACAGCTTCCCCAAGAAGAAAAGAGATCGGATTCCTACCCCCATCTTTCACTTTCACTCAGACTGGCTTACAATTTCCTTCCCTTCCTCTCCCCACAACAGACACACTGTGAGGTAGGTGGGGCTGAGAGAGCTTTTCAAGAACTGCTCTTGGGAGAACAGCTCTCAGAGAATTGTGACTGACCCAAGGTCACCCAGCTGGCTGCATGTGGAGGATGAGTGGGAATCAAACCTGGTTCTCCCAGAGTTTGCACCCTTAACCACTACATCAAATTGGCTCTCTGATCCAGAGACAAAGCAAAGAAAACGGATTCAGGTGGGCAGCCATGTTGGTCTGAAGCAACAGAACAAAGTTGGAGTCCAACAGCACCTTTAAGACCAACATGGTTTTATTTTGGGCATAAGCTTTCATGCGCATGAACACACAATCTTATACCCAAAATATAACTTTGACAGTCTTAGAGATACCACTGGACTCAAACTTTGTTCCATAGCAAAGACAACTTTTAGTCACAAGGGACAGAGTTACACTGTACACCTCTTCAGTCATAAGTATTTGGAGCAAAAGTCAGAGCAGTTAGTTTCCTGAGAAGCTGGAATATTTGTGGAAATTCTGTGTCACCACTGGGTTGCCAGCCTTGAGAAAGACAGGAGCGCTCCGTCTATGAATGTCAGCTGCTTAATGGGCCTTTTGTAGGACCAGCAATAAACATCAATTTAAACTTCAATGTAACCACAAAAGGAAACGTCCCCCTTTAGAAGACTTTCAAGCAAGGAGAAGTGGGTGTTGATTGCGTAAAAAGGATGTAAAATTGACTGGTAGTTATTAGATTGTACAAACTGATTGTTATTGTTAATATTGCATGTAATTAATATTTACCTGTTTTAGAACATTATGAATAATACACAATGCACTTTATAAGATGGAACATATAGAACACTTTAACTTATAAATAAGGTTTTTGCAGTGTATATATCTGTTGTTTCAGCCTCCAGGTGGGGCCTGGAGATCACCCCCCTTTTTTTACAACTGAGCTCCAGCCCACAGAGATCAGCTCCCCTGGAGAAAATGGCTGCTTGGAAGGGGGGGCTCTGTGGCATTTGTACCCTGCTCAGGCCCCTCCCCCTCCTGGATCCACCCCCCCCCAGGTTTGGGAGTGCCGTGACGTCACCGCAGCCCGCCCAATGCCGCGAGAGGCCCCGGCCGGACGCCCCACCTGGCCCTCCTGCGCCTCAGCAGCTCCCGCACGTCGTCCTCCGCGCCCGGCCCGCCCTGCTCCCAGGCCGCTTTCAGCAGCTGAGCCCCGCTGGGCTGGGGCGGCGGAGGGGGGGGCGGAG